CATTTTTGGAAGGCCAAACAAAGTAGTTTTGCTTTCACAACGAAAAAGCGTGACACACCTAGAGTATGCGGAGGCCGGCTTGAGTGAGCAGAGGCGGGTGGGCTTGAGAACGGCGCGGCCGTGGATTCTATGAAGGAGCGTCCAGCGGGCTTGCGGCAACCACATGTGACGACCCCGGGCTGGACTCCGCTTCGTCCACGGTGAAAGCCGATCCGGCGATCGACAGCGTGAAGTTGATGTATTTCCTCAGCAACCAGCACGGATCAGCTCCAGGCATGACGAAGCGGATATCGTCCTCTTTTGGAAGGCCAAAGAAAGTAGTTTTGCTTTCACATTGAAATACAGCGCCTTCACGACATGGCAGCAACGGCAACAACAATACTACAGCGAGAATAAAAGTTACGCCTTCTTTCTTTGCGTGAACGTTATGCAAATCTTCCCACACAGTGACGTAGATATGTGGGGGCTTGTTAGAACGAGCCGTTTTAGGTAGGCGTGGTTGACTCTCAACTTTTATAAAGAATATCTCTTTTGATTTGAGACTTTAGTCTTTGCAACTTTACAGATCTTCTTTATGCACCAAGAGCTTGTAACACTCCAAAGAGAAAGGAAAAATTGAAATCGCATCATATGACCCCTTTAAATCTATTTATTCTGCATGACCGATTTCAATATAATGTTCCTTTTGAAATACAAAAAAAAATAAAAAATCTAAATGACTCCCCTGAAATATGTATGAGATGATATCTTAGTCCTATTTATTAGATATCTCTGCTGGGTCCCTCAGTTGCACAAGTTGGGGTTGTCATGGTGACTATGGGGTTTCTCACACTTCATGTCTTCCATTTGTTGGTTCAACTTATGCGCGCTGTAATGTTATGCAGTTCTGTAAAGCAAATATTTGTATTTCTGTCTAGCAGCCGTCTACCCTTTATGGCATACAAAGCAGATTGCGTATTTGCTACATCATGAATTACTTTTTAAAAAGTTTTTGTCACTCAAAAAGTTTTTGTTACCTGTCAACTGATCTATAATAACAGCAAACTAATATACTATTTAAGTTTTAATGTAGTAGTATTGTGCCGACCCAGTGTTATGTGATATACTAGAAGTGATGATAAAGCACATATGAAAACTTGTTTACACCAATTACATATTTTAAGAAATATATTAATGTATTATTTGATTTTATTAATTTATTATTTTCTTTGTTACTCTAGTTTTCATTGTCACATGATACTTCAGAAATCATTCCTATATGCTGATTTGGCGATCAAGTAACCTTTTTTTTTTTGTATTCTTTAATGGTGCCTATGTTCGTAGTCAAGCATAGTTGATTTGAATGATGCTATATTTAATTTGTAAAGAAACATCAGAGGGGAAGAGTTATGGTGAATAATTACTTAAATTTTGATCTGTTTATGATAGAAAGGTGGTTTATTTTTGTGATGCTGTAATAGTGCTTTTTAGTCATTCTGGAGCTTGACAGCCTCAGTAACCATTCACTTAATTATATGAAAAAGAACAGCCAGTATAATACAATATATAAGGGGGAAAATGCACCCCTATAATTTTTTTGGTCCATTTTGGGGCTTGACAGGCTCATAGATCGGGACCAGTTCTAATAAAATAACTAAAGCAATGCTCACTTTGCTATATGACAGATCGATTCCACCCAGAGCACATTGGCACGGCCCCAGTCCAATTATACTCACTTAAACTCTGTACACATGAGAGAGCGTTCATAAACCTTAATCAAGACTTCATCCACTGAACTGTCTGCGCAAGAGTCAATTTATTATATTACCAGCAGCAGAAGAATCCATCAGAGAGCCTGATCTACACGAGCACCAGCATACTGCTGGGAAACATTGTGACTCTAAGGAAGGAGGGATTTTCTTTGCTTTATTTTCACATTAAATAGATCTTGGTACTTTTTAACCTTTTGATGTAGAAAAATTCAATGTTTCATGATGTATTATGTTCGTTTTGAACAATATTATTGTGCAATAGACACATTCATGACCTGAATTCTCTCATTTTGTCATACACAGGGGGATTCCAGGGAAGAAATGTGGGACGATTATTGTGAAGGCCGAGGAGCTTAGCAACTGCAGGGTAAGAGCTAATATTGAGCATTAGAATTCAGGTCTTATTTGTGTCCCATGATTGCTTATACCCATCCAAGCTTGGCCAATATCATTCACTGCTACAACACACGCACATATAAATGCAGAAAGACCTCCGCATTGCTAGCATAATTGTTACATTTGTCTTTCACAACAGGGATCAATAGGCCTTATCCCATTCCCTGCTGAAGCATCGCATCTCACACAGACAGTGAATGTGTGTCTACATAAACGCTTGACAAATGGATTTCTGATTAGGCCTTTTAGCATTGCCATCTGGGTACAGTAGTCAAGCAAATGCAACATGCCAAGCTGTTTAGCATTTGCATAATGTTATCTGTCTAGAAACCCTGAATGGCCAAATACTCAGCTCATTTATACTGATAGTGTTGTCCCAAGTGCTCTAAATCCACACGTACACTCCCGTTGCCCTCATAACCTGCTTTTCTAAAACATTCTCACCCTGCAGGAGTCTGTGATGATGCAATTTTGTGGCAACAAACTGGACAAAAAGGACTTCTTTGGCAAATCGGACCCTTTCTTAGTGTTTTATCGCAGCAATGAGGATGGAACGTGAGTAACACAGACACATGAGCGGATTCACAGCACTCACAGCATCAATCACATCTTCAGGCTCTATGTTGGCGAAATGGCTTTCCATTGAATTCTTTTAGGTTAATACCCATAGTCATTTGCACCTGGATCAGCAGGGGTTCTTTTGGAATGGAACAGTCACCCCTTAGCTGGTTGATTCTCTTCTTCAATAATTTCAGATTCCTTCACTCAGAGACAAAGGGGTTATTCAGCTTTGAGAAATCTCGGCATGTCTGAGCCTTTATTTGTGTAGATCAGATACAAGTGTTTTAACAGCTTTATTCATGTATTTATTTATTTAATTATTTATTTAAGCGACAGTTCTATAGTCAGTACAAAATAATTGTGTGTATCTATATCAAATAACAATCAAAATATCTATATATACTGTGTGTGTGTGTGTGTGTGTGTGTGTGTGTGTGTAAAAGAGCAAATAGGAAAAAGGCTAGTATTGAGCTGTATACTGAGCCCATAACTGAGCAATCCATTCATGTCTCTGTCCTTTAGAGAACAGAGTCTGTATTTTAAAGTAAATCCTGTGGTGATTTGAGAGAGGGATAGCTCAAGGGCCAGCATCAGAAAGTCAAACCAAATATGTCAAATATTTGCTCAGTTTCTGAAACAGTCCTGTTGATGCTTGGGAATAAAACCAATACAAATTTCCAACAATAATCATCTTTTTTTTGGACAGTTTTCAATATTATTGTACATAAATTATTTCTGTATAGCTCCACAGTGAAGTGGCAAACATGATATTCAGCTTTTTGTGTGTGTGTGTTAAAACATAAAACTGATTCCACTTATATTTTGCAAGTTTTAAACTCACATTTAAATTATGTCTTTAAACTAGGGTTGTCAATCGATTCAAACATTTTAGCACAGAATTTTATCAGAAAAACAAATAGAAAACAAACAGGCTTGTTTAAATATGACACTCTCTATTAATTATGACATTCAAATATAAATTTATGCAATGGTATTCTTCACCTTTCTCACCACACTACAAACAACAGATTTTACATACTGACTGCACCAAAACACATTGGAACTGCAAACTCAATTCAAATCTGTAATAATACAATAATAAAACAACTTTTATCAGACTATTTACAATAATTTTACATCTGTAAAGCTGCAATCTCCTGCTAGTATTCATATTCGTATTCTTTGAATGTTGGTGTTTAATTTGTTTGGCTCTGATGATGATTAAATTCTTTTATAGATTGGAATTAATTCAGAGAATGGCTTTACCTTTGATAAATTACCTTTGCTCAGTTAAAGAGGGTCATTATCAATCAATGACTCATAAACAAATGCAATGCTACAGAAAGAAACAATTCTTGTCATTTCCAAATGTTCTGATCAGTTTTTAGAATTAGACTGAAAGGAATGGATCATTTTCAATTTCAAATACGTAGACTATGTCAAATTAATGCATTTATTAAATGCATTTATTAAAGACATTTCAACGTTTTAGTTTAGGTAATTGTATGTGCTAATGTTTGATTTCAATCAATCTTGATTTGATGTCAACACATACCATAAATGTTTTCAACTATTATCCTGTTATCTTACAGATTTACCATTTGCCATAAGACAGAGGTGGTGAAGATCAATCTGAACCCTGTGTGGCAAGCCTTTAAAATCCCCGTCAGAGCCCTGTGCAATGGCGATTTTGACAGGTATGGAGTGTTTTGTACTGTGATTGGTTTGTTAGAATTTGGTGTGTGTTTTAATTGGTTTTGGGAAACAATATTTTGTTGCCATAAAGTACTTTGAGTTTGATCTCTTCACATTTGAGCCCTGTTTAAACTATGGTTAAGTCATATACTCACACCTTTGTCTGAAAATCACACATCAATTAAATCTTAAATTCCTGAGGTCACTTGGTTACCTGTAAACAGCATACAGCTTGACCAACTGTTGTTGTTGTCGGCATTTAAAAAAAAAAATCTAATTTTTAAATGACTTTAGTCCAGTAATAAATACTAATCAAAATTATTTAAAAAAATAAAATGATCAAAAATGAAAAATTAAAGTAATAGAACTTTTGTTACAAACAAATACTAGGTTTTGATTAAATAATAGCTGGACAATATACACATATAAAGTATCTCACAGAAGTGAGTACACCCCTCACATTTTTGTAAATATTTTATTATATCTTTTCATGTGACAACATTGAAGAAATGACACTTTGCTACAATGTAAAGTGGTGAGTGTACAGCTTGCATAACTGTGTAAATTTGCTGTCCCCTCAAAATAACTCAACACACGGCCATTAATGTCTAAACCGCTGGCCACAAAAGTGAGTACACCCCTAAGTGTAAATGTCCAAATTGGGCCCAATTAGCCATTTTCTCTCCCCGGTGTCATGTGACTCATTAGTGTTACAAGGTCTCAGGTGTGAATGGGGAGCAGGTGTGTTAAATTTGGTGTTATCGCTCTCACTCTCTGATACTGGTCACTGGAAGTTCAACATGGCACCTCATGGCAAAAAGAACTCTCTGAGGATCTGAAAAAAATAATTGTTGCTCTACATAAAGATGGCGTAGGCTATAAGAAGATTGCCAAGACCCTGAAACTGAGCTGCAGCACGGTGGCCAAGACCATACAGCGGTTTAACAGGACAGGTTCCACTCAGAACAGGCCTCGCCATGGTCGACCAAAGAAGTTGAGTGCACGTGCTCAGCGTCATATCCAGAGGTTGTGTTTGGGAAATAGACGTATGAGTGCTGCAGAGGTTGAAGGGGTGGGGGGGTCAGCCTGTCAGTGCTCAGACCATACGCCGCACACTGCATCAAATTGGTCTGCATGGCTGTCGTCCCAGAAGGAAGCCTCTTCTAAAGATGATGTACAAGTAAGCCCACAAACAGTTTGCTGAAGACAAGCAGTCTAAGGACATGGTTTACTGGAACCATGTCCTGTGGTCTGATGAGACCAAGATAAACTTATTTGGTTCAGATGGTGTCAAGCGTGTGTGGCGGCAACCAGGTGAGGAGTACAAAGACAAGGGTGTGTCTTGCCTACAATGGCTGTGTGTTGAGTTATTTTGAGGGGACAGCAAATTTACACTGTTATACAAGCTGTACACTCACTACTTTACACTGTAGCAAAGTGTCATTTATTCAGTGTTGTCACATGAAAAGATATTATAAAATATTTACAAAAATGTGAGGGGTGTACTCACTTCTGTGAGATACTGTACTTATATGTATATTCTTAATGTATGCCTACACAACAACGATGCACTAAAATGGAAATGTTTTCATTTGTGTTTTTGAAAAGTTTTCACATACAGACAACAACATTGTTACGATTGCTCCTGCTTGCACTGGCCTCCATCAAGAGGGTAGGGGACCTGCACACATGTTCGGTGGACGATTCGTGCCCAGAGTTTGGGCCCATGTAATCCTGAGGCCCCAGCCCGGCTATGTGCCCAAGGTTCCTACTACCCCTTTCAGGGATCAGGTAGTGAACCTGCAAGCGCTGCCCCCGGAGGAGGCAGACCCAGCCCTAGCTTTGCTTTGTCCCGTCTGAGCCTTGAGATGGTACGTAGACCGGACACAAAGCTTTAGGAACTCAGACCAGCTCTTTGTCTGTTACAGAGGCCGGCAGAAGGGGCCGAGAAGTCTCTAAGCAGAGGATGGCCCACTGGATTGTGGATGCCATCACCCTGGCTTATCAGGCACAGGGTGTGCCTTGCCCGCTCAGGCTGCAAGCTCACTCTACTAGAAGTGTTGCATCCACCTGGGCACTGATTCGTGGCACCTCGCTGAGAAGATATTTGTTGAGCTGCGGGCTGGGCGACCCCCAACACGTTCGCTAGGTTCTATAGCCTTCGTGTGGAGCCGGTTTCCTCCTGTGTTCTCACCTCAAACGTGTAGAGGCACTGAAAGGCCCCGGTTTAGTGATGGCTTGCTAAAACTGCTCCAGAGTGTCCATACTGTAGACCCTGTCGAGCTCCTCCATCCCCTCGGCAGCCAGACGTGGCGGAACGTCTGGCGCCAGGCCCTCACTCGATGAATCCGTGAGAACCGGTAGAGGGCTGGGTTCCATATGTAGAGACCTAAGTGGATCTCATATGTGTAAAGTCCAAGGAATAGCCTCAGAGCCCGTGGTTCCCCGGCAGACTTCTGCCATTTCCAAGAGGGTTATAATCACCTCCAATCTTCCATATGCACCTAAACGGTTGTTCATATGTGTAAGTGCTTCCAAAACCTCCTTCGGGAAGGATGGGGCTTCCGACAACAACATTGTTACGATTCTCGTTCACATGGATCCGTGAAAACAACTAAAAACACTTTATTATTCATGCCAGGCCAGTAGTTGGCGATGTCACAAACACTACGCGACTGCGTGCATTCCCATAGACCAGTGGTTCTCAAACCTCTCCATGAAGTACCCCCAGCACTGCAAATTTTGTATGTCTCCCTATATCTGACACACCCACTTCAGGTCTTGCAGTCTCTGCTAATGAGCTGATGAGTTGAATCAGGTGTGATAGATGAGGGAGACATACAAAATGTGAAGGGCTGGGAGTACTCCAGGACAGGTTTGAGAACCACTGCCATAGACCAAACACGTAATATGTATGCGCATGATGTCACCATTTTCACAAATTTTTATTTTTATTTAGTTTACACAGAAACTATAATGGCATCGTTTTCAAAAACTTGCACTTGGAAACCAAACTTTGTTTTTTTCAGGCCCCCAAAATGCCATTGTTGTGTAAATAAACATCCAAAAAGCATGGAAAGTTTATGTTTTTAGCTGAAAATGGCATTATGTAAACTTCCCTTTACAATCAATTTTGCTGGAGAAGGATGACATACATAATCAATAAATTATAATTTAATTGTAAATTAAACGTCCACTACAGATGTTTTTTTTTATTTTTTACATTGGTAATGCATAAGAACACATACATAACCAGTGAATACAGTATAGTGATTCACCCATCTACATTGGTCAAACAATAAATAAATTAAAAATAAAAAGAGATGTAAACATAGAAAAAAAACTACTTATGAATGTTTTGCTTATGGTAATATCTGCATATTATGTTGGGATAGGAGCAATTATTTTACAGTTAAAAATAATATTAAGAGACACGAGACAACATAGAAGAGAATCCCAACCGCTACATGGTATCCCAGAAGCCTCCATCATGAGTAGCTCAAACAGGGCTCTTGCTGTGTGGCGATAAAGCGGGAAGCTTCCTCACGGCAGCGGCACTCACTGATGAGCATCGATCGGTACCATAACGCACTCTCCCACACAATGCCTCAGCTTTATCTCTGATTGAACATGTGGGAAACGAAAGAGAGAGACAGACAGACGGATAGGAAGAGCGCTGGGCGTCCGGAGGAGTCTGGGACTCGAGATAAGCCAGCACACACGCTCTAATAAAGAAGCACGGAGTGTCTCGCTGTTGATAACACTGAGAATGGGTGCTAAGGGATGCTGTGGGGATTGGGTTGTTGTTAGCATGTGTTGCGTTAAGGCTCCATGTAATTGACAGAGCTATCCTATTTGAACTGTGCAAACTCATCACTCGGCTGTCACGCCACGGAACGGCAGGAGTTGTAATTATTTTCTGTCAAAATGCACTAATCCGGCCCTCTAACCCTAGTGTATAAAATATTTTTTAATTTTCCTCTCTGAAAAGAAAGTGCCTTGGAAGGAAAAGTAAACTGATTTTAGAGAAATTGTAGTTATAATCCCAGTTTTGAAAAGGGTAGTTCTGGCTCTAAAATCTGATCGGCCATGTTAAAAAAAAATTCAAAAATATAAAATGCACAACTATAATCAAGCATCATTTGAATTCCATATTGCATGCCACATCAGTCCTCTGAGAATCTCAACCAGCAGCCTGGAGTTGTGTCATATTGGAATGATCAAATTGACTCTTAATTATTATAGTTGTTATAATTACAAAAAAAAATTAGGAAACTGAATTTTATGAAAGTTTCAGCTTTTCACATAAGCATCTGAAGAAGGTACCTGTGATTTTATTATAGCCCATGACACCTGATGTTCTTTCTTTGTTCTTCAAGGTTTGAAAAAAGAATAAAGAGGTTAATCAGTGCAGCATTTTAAGTATTTTCCTGTTATCAACTATAAGGCCGTACACATATTCTTTTTTGGTGTAATGATTATTCCATTTCATGGAAACAAATCATTTCTTAGTCCAACGACATGAACAGCTCTGTAGTATCTCAGCGTGGTCATCTCATGAATATAGTAATTCCAACATGACACGAACACAGCTTTAGGCTAATGAACTATATTACTTCAGAACAGTTTATTAGAAATTAATTCTAATGCATGCACATCACTATTATTGTTGTTCAGTTTGAAACTTTGGCATGCAGTGTTTGTGCTATGGAATTAATTATTCATAAATTATGCATAATACAATAATACAAAAAGGCATCACAATAATACATTAAATTGTGTGGCTTGTCATAGAGAGGTGTGCTGTTACTTTTCGTTAGTGATCAGAATTACAATTTAATCTGGCAGACAATAAAAAACAAAAACAACGACAAAAATCTGATAGAATTGCAGTGAAAAGGGGAAAATAGTCAGAATGGACAGATCAAATATTTCTTATCATTCTCAACATACAAGATGTGTGATATTGTCTGGAGCTGTATTCAAATTCATTTTTAAAGAAATTCACACAAAGGCACAATGTACAATGCTGCTTCTCTCTCTCTCTCTCTCTCTCTAAACAGAACGATCAAGGTTGAAGTGTATGACTGGGATCGGGATGGCGGGTAATGAACTGTAAACAGTCACTTGAAGCTTAATATACACACCTGACACATCCATTAATTTGTAATGTAATATACTGATAGCTAAAGTCTTCTCACAGGGACACAGTAAATGAGCATGAAATGAGAATGAAATGCTCTTATGATCAAATTGTCCAGCATTTCAAGTACTTTTTTTTTTGTTTGTTTGTTTGAGTGTATTGGTGTTTGCAACCTGAAAAAAAGTCAAATAACAAATACAGTCCAATAATTTACTATCATTTATTTATTATTAATTATTTATTCTTCTGGTCGAAACATGTATGAAAAGATGCCACATATAGATGCAAAAGCCCAAAACACGCACCTTTGTGTTTCAAAACTCAATTCATAAGGCAACATGAGTATGTGTTTCTTTCTCAGTATTGAATCCACACATGCAGAAAATGGGACACGTGATGGTAAAAAAAAAATTCTGTGTATATGTGTGTTTACACAGTCATGACTTCATTGGAGAATTCAGCACAAGCTACAGAGAACTGTCAAGAGGCCAGTCACAATTTAACGTGTATGAGGTAATCTTATTTTATTAATTTATTAATCTATATTTTATTCATTTTCAGAGCTCATTAACATGGTATTTCACACACAGTATAACAAATATACTGTAGCATACAGTATATACAGTGGTGTAAAAAGTGTTGGCCCCCCTTCCTGATTTCTTATTTTTTTGCATGTTTGTCACACTTTAATGTTTCAGATCATCAAACAAATTTAAATATTAGTAAAAGATAGCACAAGTGAACACAACATGCAGTTTTTAAATGAAGGTTTTTATTATTAAGGGAAAACAAAATCCAAAACTACATGGCCCTGTGTGAAAAACTGTGTGAAAAAGCCCCCTAAACCTAATAACTGGTTGGGCCACCCTTAGCAGCAACAACTGCAATCAAGTGTTTGCGATAAATTGCAGTGAGTCTGTTACAGCGCTGTGGAGGAATTTTGGTCCACTCATCTATGCAGAATTGTTGTAAATCAGCCACATTGGAGGGTTTTCGAGCATGAACCGCCTTTTTAAGGTCATGCCACAGCATCTCAATAGGATTCAGGTCAGGACTTTGACTAGGCCACTCTATTTAAGACATTTCTTGATTGCGAACAGGTGTGGCAGTAATCAGGCATGGGTGTGGCTACAGTTTTAACAGGGGGGCAAACACTTCTTCACACAGGGCCATGTAGTTTTGGATTTTGCTTTCCCTTAATAATAAAAACCTTCATTTAAAAACTGCATGTTGTGTTTACTTGTGTTATCTTTGACTAATATTTACATTTGTTTGATGATCTGAAACATTAAAGTGTGACAAACATGCAAAAAAATAAGAAATCAGGAAGGGGGCCAACACTTTTTCACACCACTGTATTACTTATATTATTCAAGTAGGCTGCAAATTTTGAATTAATAAGTGAGAAAATCATGAACTGCCAGACAACCTATACAGTCAATTATAAATGCTCTACTAAATTCCACACATTACAGCTCTCAGTGTGTGGGTACCAGAAAAGAACTTAAAAAAAAAAACTTGTAATGTTAGTCAAGGAGCTTGTTTTGGCCATTTTCCAGTCTTTTTATTTATTTATTTAGCTAGCTAGCTAGCACAATAAGAGGTAAGAATAAAATATATGAAGTTTAATATATTTTTTATTTAGAGCAGGACTCAGGACCAGTATCTTAGAATGTAAACAGATGTAAATTAATTATTTCATAGATACACAGCATATACATACAGTATATTGCTGCTTTATCTTTATTGTCTCGATGTACTGTAAACACCATCTTACAGCACACTGTTGCATTTACTCAAATTTAGTTTATATAATTTGTCCCATAAACTGCCCGTCCTTTAATAACAATTACATTGTGCAAAACAATCCAAGGTGTAATGTGCAACTAAAATGTTGAAGATCACACTGAAATTATGATATATAGATAGATAGATAGATAGATAGATAGATAGATAGATAGATAGATAGATAGATAGATATGTACATAAACTGACAGTCACCACTGATAAGCTACCACTAAATATTGTAGAAACATAATTTGCTGTAAAGTTGCTTTGCAACGATTTGTATCGTGAAAAGCGCTATACAAATAAACTTGAATTGAATTGAATTGGATAGATAGATAGATAGAATGTAAACTTAGAATGTTATTAAATTAATTATTTAATAGATACACAGCATATACATACAGTATATTGCTGCTTTATCTTTATTGTCTCGATGTACTGTAAACACCATCTTACAGCACACTGTTGCATTTACTCAAATTTAGTTTATATAATTTGTCCCATAAACTGCCCGTCCTTTAATAACAATTACATTGTGCAAAACAATCCAAGGTGTAATGTGCAACTAAAATGTTGAAGATCACACTGAAATTATGATATATAGATAGATAGATAGATAGATAGATAGATAGATAGATAGACTCTCATTTAAGAAAAAACTCAACAATGTGAGGATTTAGAGTCACAGATCTAAAGAGAAGTTGGCAGACTCTGCATTTGTTCATAACTCATTCAGCATTAGTGAGTGGGAGGGACAGAGATCAAATTTTATATTATTTTTATATATGTGGCTCACGCTTTTCCATATGTGAATAATCATCACTGTAATCCCAGTCTTTTGTTGTGTTTGATGTCATAATTGTCAAACACATTTCTCTAACCTCTCTCTTTCTCCTATGTACTGTATTTCTCTAGTTTTCTTTCTCTTTTTTCTCCTCCTTTCTTCTTTTCTTGCACACACAAATACACTCATGCGGACACTCATTTATGTCTCAGTAGAGATTGGAATGGAGCGATGAATTTAACAATTCTGGTTCCAATTTCACGTAATGATTCCACTAGTGAGATAAGATAACAAGGTTCCCCTTCAGGAACTCGTGCTACATCGAGATCGCTTTGGGAACGCCCCTGCGTGACCGCGTTCTGAAGCACGTGTGAAATCAGTCCAATGGAGTAGCGAGATGTCAATAGCGGGGTGACGTGAGCAACCAGGAAGCTTAAAAGTGCACCCGGCACAGCACATGTTAGCTTCTGCTCTTCAGTGAGCACATTGTGGCGTGTGTGTTGAATGTCACAAACACTCAGTCGGTCATGAAAAAACTCTGTATAGTAAGTCATTATCATGTACAAGAATACAAGAAAGTGGCGAGCGGACGGCGCTTTAGAGTGTGTGTTCCTCCCTGCCCTCTAATATCTATGGCGAGCAAACGGCATTACAGACGTTGTGTGCCACGTTGTGTGCCTCCCTGCCGACACTATCTGGCAGAGGGGGATACACACGATCTGTGTGTTGTTTGTTTAGGAGCGGAGCATGCACGGTCAGCTTTCGAGGAGCTGATTGTCACAAAATAAAATATCGTTTGGCCAGCCGAGAAACAGGACACTCGTCCTAAAAGTAATTAGACGAGCGTTTTCTAAAATCCAGACCACAGCCTTCACAACGGGGCCTTCCGTTTTTCCCCGATCTCAATGCTGAGGTGTCAAGATTGTGGGAGAAACCGTACTCATCCCGTATTTACAGCCCCACAGTCTCGAATTATTCAAAAGAACATTGTGGGGCTGAATGATAAGGGATATGGGGCGATGCCAGTGGTGGAGCAGACGCTTGCGAGCTATCTCTAACCCATCCTCTGCATTGTCCCTGAAGGCCCCGCACACAGAGCTGCCCCGTGGCGTAAGGCAGATCAGCTATTTGCTTGTTTTTGGTCCGCTAAAGAAAGGATCTCCGGCAACCAAGCAGACCATGAGTAGGTGGGTGGTCGAGGCCATCTCACTAGCCTACGAGTCCTCTGGCCTCCCATCACCTATGGGGGTCAGAGCGCACTCGACCAGGAGTATGGCGGCCTCCAAGGCTTTCAACTTGGGTGTGGCCTTGCAGGACATTTGTGCTGCGGCGGGCTGGGCCTCTCCGCACACTTTTGTCCGCTTTTACAACCTAGACCTGGCATCTACCCCAGGTTCCCAAGTTCTCTCTTCGTGATGTGTTCGCAAGATACTCACACAGGCAGGGACTTGGTAGTATGTCGCAGTGGGTATTCTAGTTCCCAAAGCGATCTCGACGCAGCTCGAGTTCCTGAAGGGGAACGTCTCTAGGTTACGTATGTAACCATGGTTCCCCGAGGGAACGAGATGCTGCGTCTCTTTGCCATACTCCCTGCATCCCTCCAGGCGCTACTTCATCGAAGCTAACTTGCGCTCTGCCGGATGCGCTTTTATACTTCCTGGCGCTCACGTCACCCCGCTTGTGACGTCTCGCTGCTCCATTGGACTGATTTCACACGTGCTTCAGAACGCGGTTACGCAGGGGTGTTCCCAAAGCGATGTCCACGCAGCGTCTTGTTGCCTCGGGGAACCATGGTTACATACGTAACCTAGAGACGTTTTCCACTGCTAAGGTGGTCTAGTGGTATGGAGGACTAAGAGTTTATTAATTCAAAACTAAAAATGTAACTGGATGAATTACTTTTTAAAAATTACAATTACATAGACATTTTAGAATTGTTGATTTAGTTCATGTTTAAAATGCTGGTTAAATGTCAGTAAAACTGTACATTAATAACTCAATTTAAAATTGAATTGCATTTTTAGAAAGCGTCAAGCAATTTCTTTCCTTCATTTTTGCTTAATTCTTATTACATTTCTAACTGTTGTTTGTTACACAGTGTTGAAAGAGGCTAAAAGGAAAGAAAATTATATTTTAAGGCTAATGTCAAAGGAAAGGCAATTTCTAAAAAAAATTATAAAAATTGCTTAAATTTAACTGCTGAGTGTAGATGGGGTGTTGTGTAATGTCATACAGTGCATGCATCTCAATTATGTAGCATTTATTCGGTCTTATACAAATTCTATTATCCCATAAGTGATTATAATCACTCATTTTTTTTCTGCACAGGTCATAAACCCGAAGAAGAAAGGCAAGAAGAAAAAATATCTCAACTCTGGAACTGTAAGCAAACATTTTTCATGCTACATTCTTGCTAGTGTATGATTTTGTTTTTGTTGATTTAGTTTGCTGTAGTGTTGGAGAGGAACTTAAAGTAACATTGTTACTATATACCGTATACATGTGTAACAACAACATTAAATAATCAGAAGCATAATGGCACCTTTGCAGTGTAAATTGGCCTTTGTTGACTACAAATTTATTTATGCAATTTACAGTCCTCATGAGGTTTAAGATACGCTGTCAAACAGTTTAAACATGTTTCAGCCATCTATCCCCACAAATGTGTATTATCTTCGTTACATCTTAGTCCAGGATCACTTATAATTTCATGCACATTCTACTTGGCTGCTTTTAATGCTGGAAATAAAATGTAAACACAAGATCAAATGAAAATCTGTTTTGAATGTGCATTGTGCACATTCAATATAGATAATCTCGCACCATGTCAAGGATGGCAATAGCTAGTAAAACCGTTGACCTGCCAGTCAGAAAAATGAAAAAGTGACGTGACATGTGGCCAAGTATGGTGACCCATACTAGGAATTAGTGCTCTGCATTTATCCCATCCAAAGTGCACACACACAGCAGTGAACACACACACACTATGAACACACACCCGGAGCAGTGGGCAGCCATTTTTTTGGTGCAGCGCCCGGGGAGCAGTTGGGGGTTCGGTGCCTTGCTCAAGGGCACCTCAGTCGTGGTATTGAAGGTGGGAGAGAGCGCTGTACATTCACTCCCCCCACCTACAATCCCTGCCGGTACGAGACTCGAACCCACAACCTTTGGGTTACGAGTCCGACTCTCTAACCATTAGGCCACGACTTCCCCAAATGTGACTAATTTACCATTCCAGTAGTAGAGTAAATTTTGCATAAATACTGTAATACTGTACTTTGAGTTTTGGCTAGCTTGTAGCTTGACAAGGTACATTTTCAAAGAAGCTTTCCCCATTTTTTATTTTTTTTTTGCTGCTGTTTTGTTGTGTATGCTTGGGGCAGTCTTTCTTTACTTCAATCAGAATCAGTTATACTTAGAAGATTCCGTGAAACGTTGATATAGCGACATGACAACACACAGAATCATCATGGGGTTTTCTGACTTCATGTTTTCAGGTGACACTGCTGTCATTTCTCGTTGATATTGAAGCCACCTTCCTGGATTACATCAAAGGCGGGTAAGTGATGTTTTGCTCATTCGCACACACTTCTCTTTCTTTACCATCAGCTTCTGAGGTGGAAAGCCCAACAGACAACACATGCCTGTGGAAAGCAAATTTAAATTCTTACATTACCAGAGGTGACAACACAGCTGTAGCTGTGATCCCAAACCACTACCAACGCAGTCTTCGTCCTCAACAGCAGGTCTCAACAGATTCTTAATGTCCATTTTGAGGGCTTCTGGGTAATTACACTGGCAGTACAGATGACAGACTTCATACAAACACCATGAGTGACCAAATCCATTCATGGCAGATAATAGTTGAGGCTGGGTTGCTAATCTTAGCTCAGGTGTTTGCTATGTATGTGCGATTAAATGCGAGGGGTAGGCAGGGTGCATCCATGCATGGCAGATCGCACACCTACATTGAGCAATGCTTTTCATTATGGTGACGAGGGAGGCTGCGGTCACCTCTGCTCTGACACCGCACCGCCAGACGTCTGTTTTAATGGCTACTCCTTCCTTTTATTCTGAGAATTTTTGGTGAAAGGTCTGTGCACTCGAGCTGAATTTGTCCACTCCTGGAGGGTACAGTCTGCATGTGTCTCTCACACTTCCTGTAACAGTACTGGAATGGCCAGCTCATCATTTATTGATATAATCCAATTAGAAAGTAGAAATCATGGAATGAATAACCCATTAGTGCACTTGTTTTGGATTCAGGATTGGAGATATTAAATAATGACACTAGTGATTTAAGGGTCAATGATGTATAAGAGTGTCAACAAAGGAAGACAATGCTGAAACACTTTTAAAAGGAGTTGAATATCTAGTGTAAAACACGTGTCAAGTTCTTACTTTTTGTATTGATGTTGGTTTAATGTGGTTTTGTCATTTGTATGTCTCATTATCGTCATTATACTTAGTGTATGAGCTACTTTTATGATTCTTTTGTGTTGCTTCTGGAGCTTTTATAGCCATGGTCACAGCTGTTTGAAGATTCTAATTTTGCGTTTCATGGACAAAAATAACAACATGTAAGAATGAACAATAGCAGAATTATCATTTTTTGCTGAACTATTCCTTTAAACATGTACAGCAAATAGAAAGACATGCACATGCAAGTGCACTATTTGTGGTGTTATTTTTCTGGAGACAACTCCAAAGCAATGTTTCTTGGCAGTAATGGCAGCTGTTTTTCAGTGCACGTCATTGTGTGAATGGCTAAAGTGGAAAGTTGTGTAGGGCTGTAAATGGATTTTGTCGAGAACTCACTCACATTACGTAATGGCAACCACATTTTCAGTTTCCCTATTTATGCACATTTTTCCTCTGCCGTGATAAAAGCTGCTCTGCACCTGTTGGCTATTGCAGTATGAAACACTGTTAGTGTAATTCTGCATGACAGTGTTTGTGCTGTAGCCCACAGCAAAATACTCCAACTAACTATGAGCATGCTTAACGGCTTGGAGCAAAAGTTGATACGTACTTGCTCAAGACAAAGATTTAAAGATAGTTAGAGAAGTTGTAGTTAGGTACAATAGTTACAGTTTAATTTTTTTTCGGCTCTCCAATATAATTGTAAAAAGAGGGCGCTCGTTGGACACACCTGGATTGTATATCAGGTGAGTAGTTGCACGAAGAATAGTTCAGTTTGGGTAGAGGGAACACATGTTTCTTTGTGCTACCTTGAACTTCGGGTTGACAAAGTCCTAGTTGAGAAACCTTTGGTTTTAAGCTCGACATGTGAGTATATTTGAATATTGTCTAACTTCTTTATTTAGAATGTGGGAGGAATGTTTATGTTTGGTTTTTGGTATTTTCTATTTTTCAGAAGGACTTTTTCCCTTTTCATATCATTTCACTTCCAAATCTGTGGTTGGATACATAACTAATTGTAACGGTGTTCATTCGAATACTGTTTGGAGTGGATATGCCTTTGTGTTTGATTCCTTTGTGGAGGCTCTTTCATATGCTAGTCGGAGTTGTCCATGCTAAAGCAGATCAACATATTTCAACGCACTCAATGTTTTTCTGAGGAAAGAATAACTAATTTTTGCCACGGAATGGATCATCATGTCTCAGATAAGAACTAAAAGACTATTTCTTTGGTGTAAAATCAAGGACCAGGTTTTGATTTTGTTTATTAGTTCTTTATTATGTATAGAGTATAATTAGTTTTCACTTGAACCCATTTAGCATTGGGGGGAATAAAACAACAACAACAAAAAAAGAAAGACTGTTTGCTGAAGTTCATGAATTGCTTTATTTGATCTTAGTGATGAACCCTCATTTGTGGCTAATCTAGAAATAAAAGAAAGAGAAGTTACAACGTAATGACATGGTGATGCAATGTAGTGCATGGCCAAGGCTATAAACAGAAGCCTGAAATGCATCCCATCAAATTCTACTTGCCAGAAGGAGGCACACAGGCATAGCCTAGGCATGGCAATGAGACACAGCGTCTCGTTCCTTTCTCAGAGAACTGGGTTACATACGTAACCTGAGACATTCCCTTTCGAAGTGGAACTTCGACGCTGCGTCATGGCGTTGACGCTCTGGGAACATCAATACCAAAGCACAAACCAGACATAAAAGGCTGAAGGCTCTCTTGTTCCAGAGACTCATGATGCAGAGGAACGAAAGTTTGCAAAATGACCATTTGGTCATACAGAATGCATATACACCTATTATTGTACTGTATATCAACTGAATTCTTAAGAATTCTTAAGTCATCTGAATTCTTGAGTTATTGATGTTTTTGACCAATTACAGTACAATCCACATCAAAGCTCTGATTTATTAAATATTACATTTAAAATGAACATTAAATTAAAAATTAAATTAAAATGTTAATTTAAATTACATTTATTAAATGAAACAATCATTTATTTACAACATTTCAAATCCACATAGAAAATATTTCAATCATCAAAAGTGTCATATTTCATGTTTTTATATTATATTGTATTCCCTGCTAACTCTGTTTCATTTAATTGACACTTATTTGAACTGCTATTACTGAATGCTTTACTGTGATAAACAGCTAGTGTTTCTCCCCTTATCTTCTCACTCTTCTCTCCTCTTATCGCTCTCATCGCCATCTCTCTGTCATCTGTCTTTCTGTGGCGTCCCTGAGTAGGGATTGACACTAGTGTTGAGTGCACCTCATTAGCTGCAGGAGATGAAGAGCACAGCGCTCTAGAGACAGCCGTTGTGATGAAGAACAATCCAATCAGTTAATTGGTATTAGGAGCCCTAAAGGAGAAGAACTCTGCAAGCATCTGCAGTCAAAAATTACAGCTTTGTGTGTTGATTTCTCTCAAAGGAAAGCTGTTGTCAGCCATGTTTGTGTGTTTGGAGGAGGATTTTGCACCCTGGACTGAGTCACACTTACACTCACACTAGCTGTCTTTATACATTATAGGGAGAAGATCCAGAGTTTCATGATTTCATTAACAATGTTATGCTGTTGCATGTTAGCTCTGCCCTTATTTGCTTTAATCTGTTGTGATCTATTGGGATTTCAACTGGCAGAATGGATTCAGTGTTACTGTCATTAGTGTTCCGTCTCTTAGCATAACAGCTAATTAGCTCTCATATGCAACAAAATAGGACTTACCTAACCATAATATAGGAGGTGAATGAAGAGCAAGAGCAAAAACAAAAATATATGGGAATATACTGCAAAATATAATGTGCTATATTACATAATACATTTTCATATATGGGAAACTAGTGCTTATATTTTTCAATATAATTGACAAAGGAAATAAATTATGATGGATATAAGTGGACATATCCTGCATATGTGGCTTGTAGAATGTATATTGTAGTAAAGTAATGCTGTATTGACTAAATTGCTTCATTCCCCTGAAGTCACTTATCCCCATATGGACAATGTCCTCCCACCTCCAGTCAACAACATCTGTCGTCTCCCATGCTTATGTCACAAGACATTTCTCCAGCCACAGGCTAATGCATACAGAGAACTTCATCAGCCTTCCAGAGACCATGGGAAAAGAACAAAAACTCAACTTTTATTAATCATTCTATCACACCAATGGAAAGCTGTCCCAGTGTGAAGGCTTTTGTTGACTTTAATCAATCTCTGTCAGGGCTCAATTTTTTTTCTTTCCTGGCATGGTCAGGCCAGTAATTCAAAATTCATATCTCTGACAATGTTTTCTAATAATAATAATAATTTTTGTTACAGAAAATAGTTTTTATAAAAAAAATTGTACTGAACTGTTGAAATGAGTGAGCTGCTCTGCCACTGTACTGTGATTGCATGATTAAATTGTATATCATGGATACATTTTAAATATGCGGTATATGAAGTGGCTGATCTCCATAAGACTTTATTTCATTTTCTCTTACTCACACCAATACCATTCTGCTTTACCCACAATCCTAGAAGCAGGGGTCTTTGGGATTTAATTAAATAATGAAACCTGATATTCTTGCGGATATTCTCTGAACATCTGAGTCCCATCTGTGGCAGAGGCAGCCCTCATCTTCTAACCCTCATTTTCTCAGACACTGAGTTTCACACCTGCATTTACAGAAACCACCCCCATTACAAACACTTAGATTGCAGGTACCACAAAAGGTTGTCGCTAGTTATGAAACTGTCATCCCCTATTGGATGGAATACATGTAGTGCATGGCTATGATCTTTTCCCCTTTAACCTTCTGATGGATGCTTTTCTTCTTTGGACATTTGATTCTGCTATGAATTCTGCTATAGTCAGGTACGACTCACATAGCTACAGACTGTTTTTCAGCTCGTTTCGGGAAACAAATTGGGACAAGAAATCCCAGGGAGTTACAGCAGAATGAAAAATTAGGTTCTGTGTGAGTCTGGTGTCTATTTGAGAGAAAACAAAAATATTTGCAGATCTGTTTTGCCAATTAACAGGCCTTTTTGGTAGGTTTTGATGTTTGATTTTAGAGCACTCTTTTGAGAAACTTTAGGGCTCAAGTTTTAGTCTAGACTGACAGGACTATGCCAGGAGCCACAAGAGAATGTGTTATACAGCGATTAAGGCTGCTCAGTCTGTAACTGTTTAACTAGTAATGAATACATATCAATCAAACATTAAAAGCCTGTCGCACAGGCTTCATTTAATTTGTCCTCTTCATCAAGTACCTACACAAGGGCTGTTCATTCTTGCTCTGTGAGATCTACCTTCCTTCTGAACCCTGCTTTAACATACCTGTCTATAATTTTTAATGAACCCCAAACCTTGATTAGCTGGTTCAGGTGTGTTTGATTGGAGTTGGATCTAAACCCTGCAGGAATCTAGATCTCCAAGAGCAGGAAAGAGCTGGTGTCCCACAGGGCTCAGTGTTGGGGCTCTTTCTTTTCTGTTGCTACATTAAATCACTCTGCACTGTCATCTAGTAGCATGTATTTTCTTCTCGCTGCTTTGCTGATCACATGCAAGTGTACATTTCATCACGCTTTTTTTATCTACAGTGGGTATAGAAAAGAATCTCCCCCCTTTAAAATCATCACATTTTGTTGCTCTGCAGCCTGAAATGAAGATGGACACAGTTTTTGTTTTATCCAGCTGTATTTACTCAGTGCACCTTATAGCATCCAAGTGAAAGATATAAGGGGTGATCCTTTTTCTGTTTTTTATTTTTTTTCTGAAATGTCAGTGTTATATCTTTCACTCGGATGCTATACGTTGCACTGAGTAAATACAGCTGAAAAAAAAAACGTGTCCATCTTCAATTCAGACTGCAAAGCAACAAAATGTGATTATTTAAAAAGTGGGGTGATTCTTTTCTATACCCACTGTACGTCTGTTTTTTTAGAGAACAGTACATCCTCTCTGACATAGAGACCTTGAGGACTACTCGTCACCTCATGCACAGTCTTAAAAACAAAATTGGCTTCCTCTTCCTTCCAGCCAAAACCTGTCACCCAAAGGTGTGTTAAATTGTTGAAGTCACCCTAGAAGACCATTTGTGTTCATCATTCACCATCATTCACCATAACATAAGCAAAATCTGGCCCTTCCTGGACCCCAATTCCACTCAGCTCCTTGTTTAAGTTCTAGTCATTTCACAAGTAGACTACTGTCAGATGTCCCCTCAAGTGCACCAAGGATATAGCTGTTCCGTTTGTTTGAAACCTCTGGAAATACTGTCATGTTCACCTCTGCTCAAGTGCCCTCACTAGCTTTCAGTTCATGCCAGAATCAATCAAGATTGTGGCCTGCAATGGTCCCAGTGGCCTGAATGATCTTTTGTCAAGCTGTACACATTAGTCCAGTGTTTCCGACAGAATTCTGCTTCTGTCAACCCTTTAATTATATATGGTATTGGTTGACTAGCCTCACCTGGCTTGGATAACTAACCTCAAACATTACACATAAAAAGAAAAACCTTTTCTTGACTAGCACAATAAATTTATATGTACAGTATATTAAGTGAATTATAAGCTATGCATGCCTGATGCCTTTGTTGCCCTTTTTGTACCATGACTTAGAAAAGAAGCATCCAGGAATCATTAAAATTTCAAGTTGCGTAAGTAACAGAGATTGAATTGCTAAAGATTGCCGAGTTGTTGTGCTGCTGTTGGTTTTTTGTAGGGGTTCCATTTTGGGGAAGATCATGTGAGCTTCACTATTTCCACTGCCATTGCTTTGCTTTTGCATAAAATTGAAGCTCAATTTTGTTGTACTGCCAACATTCCCCTCGCCTCAAATCATAGCTTCTTTTTTGTTTGTGATGGCCTTTTATTTGAGTGCACTTTCTTGTAAGTTATAAGTAGGAAACTACTTTACACATTTTTCAGGTTATATTATGTAAAGAACACATAAACAAACATGCACATGAAAGTTCCCCATTTGCAAACCTTATCAGACAATGATAGCAGATGATTGCATGTGTAGTAATTGAATATCTCTTTTTGCAGCTGTTAGATTGTGATGAACCTTGGATATCATACCTAAACATTTCCTACTTCCAAGATTACTAAGACTTATTTTCTTCAACCTAACCTACTTGCATAACTGTGGACATTTTTGGAAGTCAAATGGCCAACTACATATGTTTCATAGTTATGGTAGAGTCTGTTACATGATTGCATGATCTATGAAATAAAATCCACACAGAAAATGTCATTTTTTCATTGAACCGGTTATTTTGTTGGTCTCTGGAGTGTGAGTTTTGTCCATTTAATTTGGACACTATAAATTAATGTATGAATGAATAAATTAATGAAAACAGAATAAACGAATGGATGAAAGAATGAATTCAGACTTTAGCCGACCAGTCAAAATCCCATGAAAACAGGAATAATTATGAAAATGAAAATTTTATGCAACAGCTAATGTGCCTGTATGACACACTGGGTGTGTGGTGTGTCACAAACATGTTTTCTGAGAGCTGTAAGCATTATCCTAACAGATGGTATGACTGGCTCAGTCTCAACTGAATGTGAGTAATGGTAGGATATCTTTACTCAGCTGTCTCATGTTCCTTCTCATCTGTGAAATCACTAGGATATCACTTTCCAGTGTCTACATTAGCAGCTACCTTTTAAGGCAGCATCCTAACCAGTTATGTGCCCTCATGTGTGACTGATTTGATAGTTGAGGGTCATTATTGTTTTGGACCCCACTGACTTTTGCTGTATGGAATGAATGAATGAATGAATAACAGTTGAAATATTCTTCATAATATCTTTTGTGCGTGTGTGTGTGAGAGAGTGTGATAACAACAACTGATTCCAATTGGGCTTTGGTGTTAGCATGGTGTTAAGTTAACAGTGTGCCTACTATAGGCATCAGTGTGCCTTCCAGTCTGGGTGCTTCATGGTTACTTGACCATTTTTGTTGCTGTTTATATATATGATATGCCTGGATATTTAATGATCAGGGGACAGGACCATACACACACTTGCACACACATTTTAAGAGTGTATTTCTGGTTTGGGGATGTGTGTGTGTGACTGCAGCTGTAAGCTCGGTAATGAGAGCAGTCTAATGAGAGGAGACAGATCTGTACTTACGGCATTAGTTAGCTTGGCTCAATGTCCCAGCAAACACACACCCATCCTGTATCCTGCTTATCTATTCTACTGATGCAATGTTACAAGGACAAATAAGAGAAAAACACACATGCATAAATAACAATCATTCATTTCTGATGTCTTTAATACCCTAGAAAAGCACCATAATATGTCTTAGACTCAGAGTACACCTCATAAAATTCACTCTGTTCTATACTCTTCTAGTCTACTGCTGACATAGGCATCTACCCAGTCAACACATTTCCTTTGGGTCATATCTGGCCCAAATCAGCAGCTAAAGTGCGGCCCAGATTACTATGTGTTTGCCGGCCCAGAACTGGCACAAAAATTGATTCACAGTCTTTCTTTTATATATAATAGAATTTTAATAGCAGAAGTAAAATACATAAGATAACAGAAGTGTGCTATGTTGTGAATGTCAAATGAGTGAATGAATGTACAATTGTTGATACTTTGTTTTAGTAAATCTCGCCAGTCTTTCTCAATCACAGTCAGTCTGTCAGGAAAAAGGAGAGAAAAAAAGAACATTAGTGTACCATAATTAGTATCATATATTAGATATTATTTGAATATTAAGACAAGCACATATTATTAATGACTGCAAATCAACACTGCACACATTCTCTTTTTCTACCACCCAAGACATGAGTGCTGCTGTGTAGCCATTTTTAAATAAACAAAACATTAGCTGCTGTAATAACATGCTATTTTTAGACATACTACTTAATATTATACATAATAATGAAAACATTAGGGGTGGTACACAAAAATGACGATTCAGTTCCTTGGTTTGAAGTTAGGATTTGATACATTTTTGGTACAGCAGGAGGAGAAAACTGAACATAAAAGTGCTTTTTTTCCTTTTTTATTAAACAGTGGTTTACTAAACAAATTGTGGCTCTGTATTTAAATAAATTCAGTTATTACAATTTTATTATTACTATTTTCTTAAGGATAAAAAACTGGACTTAACTAAAATATTAAAGGTTATAATTAACAACAGAGCCCAAACTATTAAATACAATTTCTATTTATTTTTAGATACAATAATCAACACTCAAACATGTAAAATACACATAGGCAGTTTTTACGTAATGTCTAAACATAACTATAAAATTATGTTTCTACTTTGTTTTCATGGCAGATTTAAAATGTACACTAATTAAGCATACACTAATTAAGACATCACTAACAGATTGAGTAAAAATATATAATGAATATGTTGGCTAATATAGTGCAAATATTTCTCCAGAGTTAATTTTTCTAGCAAAGCCACGAGCTGGGGACACTGAATGACTTGCTTAAGGTAAAGGTAATGCTGCTTCGTGACATTGATAACAAGCTGTTTTATTGAGTTGAAAAAAACTGATTGAGAGATTACGTGAGACATGAGATGTTCATTCATGTTTATTTCGTGTTATAACTATAGAAAAGAGAAAGGGATGATCACATTAACTCGCTCTCCGCACTGCCGCTTGTACTTGCGATCTGTCACACCACATCAAAGAGCCTCGAAACGGCATATATCATTTGAATTTCCTGATAAAATAGACGTAGATGTGACAGCTATCAGCCATATAGTTCTTGCTATCTGGGTACCTTGTAAGGTAGCATCCTAAATGATATGGAACCTCAAAAGGGAGTGATTTGGAACACCCGACAGTTTTTTAAATGGTCAATCACACATGCCAAATAGGGTTCCTCATGTGACACTCAATATCACATTAGTGTAATGTTAGCATGTTGAGCTAACAACATGTTAGCATGTTAAGCTAACAACAAAACATATACACGAGCAAATATTGTTTATGCACACAAATGTCTTGTACATCAGAACATGAACTTTATATTATTTTTGTGTTATTTTTACGATTTTATTGTATTTTTTACACTGAAATCTGACTGAATGTGAAGTTAGCTACGCTCAAATAGAGAAGGAGCTCTATGAGGTCTTATTCGGCTGCAAGTGCTTTCATCAGTATGTGGATGGCCGTGAAGTCATAGTGGAGTATGATCACAAGCCGCTTGAATCAGTGATGAAAAAACCTCTAGCTCCGCCGCGACTTCAAAGAATGATTCTTCAACTCCAGAAATATGACATCACCATCACACACCGGCCAGGAAAGGAGATTCCAGTGGCGGACACCCTCTCTAGAAAGTCCATAAAGACAGAGCACGACAATCTCAGCGAAGGAATGGACATGCAGGTTCACATGGTATACAAAAGCTTACCAGTCAGTGACGCAAAGCTGCAACAAACCGTGCCGAGACCGAATCAGACAGCCAGCTCGTCCAGCTCAGACAGGTGATTCTGGATGGATGGCCTGGAGAGAGGAAGAAATGCCCCGCAGACATCAGTAATTTCTGGAACTTCCGAGACGAACTCTCATTGACCAACGGAATCATTCTCAAAGGTGAGAAAATAGTCATACCCACCTCACTCAGAAAATATATGCTCACACGCATTCACGCCGGTCACATGGGCATAGAGAAGTCGAAGCAAAGAGCACGATATGTGTTATTCTGGCCAGGAACGAGTAAACAAATAGAACGCATGGTCGAAAGAGGCGATACTTGCCTTGAGCAACGTCGTTCAAACACTAAGGAGCCCATGATTCCTCGCAAAATACCAACCAGACCATGGCAGGTGATAGCTTCAGACCTCTTTACCTGGAACCACGAAGAATACATGGTTACAGTAGACTACTATAGCCGTTTCTTTGAATTGGACAAACTCAGCACCACCACGGCTGCCACTGTCATCAGCAAACTCAAAGTCATTTTCGCGAGACATGGCATCCCAGAGAAATTTGTCTCCGACAATGGTCCACAATATCGAGGCAAGGAGTTTGAAGACTTTGCAAAGACATGAGGCTGCCATGCTTCAGATACCTGCTGAAGTACCAGCACAGCATTCAAAAGACAAACAGATCCAGCCCATACAATACCATACCAGGTCAGGTCGAGCAGTGCGACCAAGAGCAATTCTTGATTTGTGATTTGTCATTCGTCTGGGGTGTAGGCGGATCGCTGGCCCTATGAGAGAATGGAATCTAAAATCTGGTATGGGCGGTCTGAGAAGAATGGACACTTTGTTCACAAATTTTGTTGTATAGTGTACTACGTGTGCTATAAGTGTCATATGTGTTGAAATGTTTTGAAATGCAGCATCCTCTGTGTTTATGCTAGAGTAATGTTTCAGTGGTTCAAGTATATATATATATATATATATATATATATATATGTACACTGCAGTGACAATGTGTTTTTGTTTTATTTGTTCTTTAAAAGAAAGGAGATGTAATATTCACGTAAGCACTGAATATTTGCTACACTAATTTACGGTACTACGGCAAGAGATTGGCGGGTATCGGCAGTGATTGGACACATGTGAATACGGTTGCAGGCAGTGGATTAAAAGCTTAAGTTTGTTTGGTACTCACTGTTCGTCTCCTTATTTAAAACTGCATGCACTGTGCAGTAAAAGCAACAAACAAAGAATAAGACAGTTATTTTTTTTTCCTATCTTCCTACAGAATGGAAACCCTCAGAATCCATATTGCAATGGCATTGATGGAGTCATGGAGGCATATTACCAGAGTCTAAAGTCCGTCCAGCTCTATGGACCTACCAACTTCTCGCCTGTCATTAACCATGTAGCCAGGTAACGTTCAGAACATTTTAGTACCAGAGACATAATGTGCATACCCACACAGCTGCACATATCTTTTGCAAGTATGTAGTGCTTTTGTACATGCATTACTATTGTGGTAACGATCCTTAAAATTTAAAATCACCATGAAATCAACATTTGGCAATTTGAAGTTGGCCATTCTTATTTTTTATGGAATGTTGCAATGTTTATTAACTTGCTCAGCTATATTCCTGAAAGAGACAAATAAGGAAGACATTTTACACTAATTTCTGTCTTGTGGCAATGGTAAGAAAGCAACACATACTTTAAAATTGCAATCTGACATATTTCATAAAACAACGGTACACAAAATCAGGCTTGCATAGATTAAAGTGTTTACATTCACATTGCTGCAGAGCATTGCAGCCTTTTTCTGTAGTCCGGTAGTTTAGATAATTGAAGTAGTTTAAATGTATTGGTTGTGTATCTTTTCTTATTACATTGCTCTCTAGAATAGTTGATTCTGATTGGTCAATCACAGAACTGAGTGGTGAAATATTTTTGTATATTGACCGTTACACTAAATATTCCACTGTTGTCCATGACAACATATTGGTCCTACTTTTTTCATGTACAGTACTTTAATGTCCATATATGTCCTCTATCTTTTCATATCAAAGGAAGTTGAGATGCTAATTGGAGCCATTTTGCTACTCAAAAAACTGTTACTGTTACCCCTTTTCCAAGTGTGTGACAGTGACACAGAGATAATCAAATCCAAAATGGCCTCCGAGGCACAATATATGACCTTTAAATCACTTTAAATGAACTGTGGAACTAGACTTGTGAGACTATAAGATTCAGAGATCATCCCAGGTCTGTATCATCCATCAAGTGATGTGAGGAAAAACATTAAATGGCCATCGTAAATCTGACACAGTGGCCTGAAAATGAGATGTGTAATACCCACACAGGAATTTTTAGTACCCTATAGGCATACAAGAAAGATCTCAGATGGAGAATATAAGATGGGGGTTATTATTTTATGTAATTCCCATGGATGAGGCCCTAAATCCTGGGTTTTTTAACTCATGCCATGAACCCCTAAATATGATAATTACCTTCAAGACCTTCCTAAAATATAGGATATACAGTATTTTAATGTATTACAAAATGTATTTTACTGTGTGAAGGAAAAAAAAACATTATAATATAAAGACAACATGCTGATTTACTCATTAATTAGATTGTATAGTGTCATTGTACTAAAACCAAAAGAAAATATTATCTGGTAAATATTAATTTTGTATTTGTATTTGTATGTTGTATTTGTTTTTTGTTTTTGTTTTAGTTGTTATTAGAGTAATGTTAAATACATTCTCTTGAAGAGAACATTGTTCATTAAAATCTGTTTTATAAACAGATCACAATAAATGTTGTTCTAAAAGGTTTTAGAAAGCAGAAAGACAGTAATTCAGTTGATTTAATTCAACATTTAATTTAATTCATTTAATAAACACTGGAAAAATTGTAACCTAAACATGGTGACGTAAATTAACTGGTATGAAATGAAATTAAATGAAATTTAAATTTTAAAAGGTTATTTAGCATCACTGAATCAATACATGCATTGTTATGCCAACAACGTTAATTTCAATCAGGTAAAAGTTAAATTAGGGGGAAAAAATCTCTTTAAGGTAACAATTGCAGTTGATCACTTTTTACAGTTTTTATTATTATTATTATTATTATTATTATTATTATTATTATTATTATTATTGTTGTTGTTATTTTTTTACAATACAATTGTGATACTTTTCTGCCCAGAATCCAGTTGGAAAACCTCTGTACTAAATAAAAGCTGTTCCTAATAAATATAAGCTCATGCGGTTCTTACCAATATCAATTGAAAAATTGAATAAATTGGAAAATTTAGGGAATTCAATAAATCAATAAATTTGTGCTGTACAAATTAGCAGAAGCTGAACAGAGGGGTGTAATAAAAAAATATTTTTAGAAATATCACTTAACTTTCTGTAAAATCAGAATTTGAACAGTTCATCTTATGTTCCTAAAATAAAAGCTCTATAATGTTTAGAGATAATGTACTTACTATTTTACACTGTTAGAGGTCAGAATAAAATAACTTAAGGACACTTTTAACAGCTTGTGGGGCTGTGAGAACCTGAGTGTCTACATCTCTAGCAGCAGCAATAAAAGATTGGAATCATTATGCTTCAATTGCAGCGCGGAGTGTCTAAGCGCACTTCAGCATCCACATATAGTAATGCTACAGTGTAAAATATATTGAGAGGGTATGGCATTCACTGCTCAGTACAATGTTAGCTCTTTCCTCAGAGAATCAGAAAATGCAAATATAAAACAAACAAACAAACAAAAAGTTATACAACTTAGTAATGACAGAATTTTCATTCCTATAAAATATACTGGGATGCAAAATGTGAACAATTAATAAGATCACATTGAAATTCATAGATATACTGTATGTATAAAGTGTAGTTCCAGAACAGTTTTTTTTTTTTACCTTTAGATAGACAGTGATGTCTTGTGGCATTCGTACGATATCAACTTATGGAGTGCATCTCAGGGGCTGATCTACTGTGCTGGCATGGGGTGGCAACTGCCACCATAAGAAAAAGTGTTGCCACCCTGTCTTCCACCCCAATATTATCCCAGTATAGAATACAAATGTATGCATTTTATCTGTACCATGCACATTTCAGCATTTCAGCAATATTAACTACTTGATTATTGAACTACTGTCATATAAAATCAATGTCACATTTGCAATTGTGCTGATAGTCGGGAAAACATCACTCTTGTTGCTTTCCTATGTCATATATTATATAGAATATTTCTCTTTTTTTCTACCGCAGTAGTTTGTTCATGTTTGGTTCTTTGTGCTGTTGCGCCTATTAGTTTTGATTTCTCTGCGAGTCAGACAGGTTGCGCGAGGCTCAACTGACGCAACCTTGATACTGTCAATACATTATTCATTATCAGTCACCGTTTACACTGAAAGTAATACAATCAGAATCATTCTTGCCAAAGTGTCGGTGCTGCCCTAGTTATTGTTTGTTATTGACGTTTTATTCAGGTTACTTGTCCGGTCGGGCAAGTAAAATTCTCTTTCACTAATTGTCCCGTCACAAAATCCACTTGTCCCAGACAAGCAGACGAGCGTTAATGTCAAGCCCTGTCTGGGATTGTCGTTTTCCTCATTTAATTTATTTCTTTTTTTTGGGACACACAGATTATCTGACTTCCCACTCCACTTTCATCATGGATATAGATCTTTCTAAAAAAATAAATCAATATTACTATATTGAAACATTTGTAAAACAGACTTTATGTTGGCTTGACAAAATCTGACTAAATGTAAAATAGTTTGAAGGTCAGAACAGACAGATAGTACTAATGATAGACATACTCTTACAAGCTCAGAGACATTTCGAATCTATTGATGTGGTTAATAGACAGTGTCATGGTGCCCTGGATATTGATATTTTGTTACTGTTATTGTTATTATAGAGTATTAATAAAATGGATAATAAGACATCTAAATGTATGTATGTAAAAAAAAAAGAACGTAAAAAAATGTGTATGGTTTTCACTCAATAAGATCTTGTTAATAAGATAATGTAGGGATTATCAGAAATTAAAAACCTCAGGAGATATTATCAAAGGTGTTTTCAAATAATTTGCATTACTTTTCCATTTAGTTTATTAAATGTAATTGAATTTGTTAATTTCATTAGTTTACTGACAAATGCAATTTAAAACCTCTCCAACAAAATGATGTCACAATTATGGTGAAGTATTATGTGGATTATGTGTTCATTAGTATTAAAAAAATAATAATAATAAGAAGAAAAAAATATTACTGGAAACAAGGCTGCTTAAAAATTGAACAGGCGCTGTTGCGCTATTGCAGCCAAAGTGATTATTTCAGATATTTAGTAACTGAACAAATCAATTGATTAATCTAGGTGGTTGTGTGCATGTTACCTGATATATCCCTGTGATCTGCTAAGAAAGCCCCAACACTTTTATACAGGTGTTATGATATTAATAAATTGGCTCTTGTTTATTGCAACATATATGGCAGTTATTTTTGCACTAGAACATGTTTCTAAAACTCATGTTTTGTTATTGCACTTCAGACCTCTATGCTCACAAATCCCATGTTAAATCCACACCGATTTGCTTTAAAGTGAGCCAACAGTCAGTGGACTGGCACATCCTCACACTGTGTATCTAATTATATGTCCATTTCATGGGTTTTCTGAGGATGGGAAGTAAAGGACAGACCATCAAGTCATTATCACCCCTCTGTTCCACACACACACACACAGTCACTGTGGTGTCCACTCATCAGCACTGACGACAGATCTGTCACACTGCACCTCTCTAATCTCTCTGTGTGTATTTGCTGTAGGTCGCGCCCACACAGTTTAATAATAAACTGCTTTTATATTGCTCTTTCAGAGCTAATGTGCTGTTTGACTGGATTTTCTACTGTGCACATTTTTGTTACTGGAGAAATAAAGACTAAAAACATGTATTTTTATGTACTTGCAAAATATAAAATTTTTTAAGGCTCGTTCACACTGCGGCAACAAATGGCAATACTTTAAACATTTTAAAGTTGTATTTAGAAAAATGGAAAATATAACTATAATCCTCACATTGCACCAACAAGGTTAACATACTGATTCAAACCCCAAAAAACGTAACAGTTGACTATAAGATTCAATTTGCTTACATTAGTTGATGCATTAGGTATCATTAACTATCAGTGAACAACATGAATGTATTATTCTAGGTTAGTAAATATACAGTCTTTTACTGTAAATTAATGTTCATTCATAATAGATTAACAACCTTATTGTATATAGAGAAGGAGACAAAATATTTTGGGTGAAGTCCTGCTTTAAAAGAGGCTTATACTGTGTATGTGTTTTTATTTATTTATTTGTTTGTCTGTCTGTCTGTTTTGTGGTGTATTC